ATATTTTTCTCGCACTCCCCCCGTCCGTTCCCCCCCGGAAATACGACATCTTACCGGACAGACACAAATCGAGATCTCGACAATACATAGATCGGCGCGAAAGACTGGGTCGAGATTAGGAGTGCTGCCTTCGGCAGCAATAATATTGTAAAAGATAAAGTAGTCTCGAGAGAATTATATAATCTAGATTAAAATAGATAAACATGATCTATGTTTGATATAAAGGGCATTTGATTTTGATCATAACCACATGAATTAATTTGCGCTATACTAGGAATCGCAATCTTATTAAAAACTAAAAATACATACGTGTCTTCGAAGCCCCAACATTTTTCCGGGTTAACTTTTAATTTTTCACAAGCCGTTAAAAAGGCATCAGGACTTGGTTTGTGTTGCGAATAATCCTCATTTCCAACGATCACGTCGAACAGATGGCGAAGTCCAGCTAATTCCAGAGCTACAAAGTGAAATTAATTTTTTTTCGTGAGTTTATATTGGTTTGGCGCAGGTACGAATCCGTACGATTTGTCGTCAAAAGTGAGAATAAAGTAAACCCAATAAACATGACAATTTTGGTGAAATAAAATGTCTATGAAGTTTAAAAATTATCAAATTTTTAAATATATTGAAATTTGGAATTCAAATTAGAGCAAACAATGCATCATTGCACGGTTTACGAAATATTGAATTGCAAATCGCCCACAAGAATGCATTATCGCATGATTTGAAATTTCATAATATGTAAATTGATACATATCGAAAACTATTAAGGGAAAACCCGTTCGCTCTGAGATAAGTGAGATTATGTCAATGAATCTGAAACATTTTTGTGCTACGATAGAATCTCTTTCTGTTTCGATAAAAATCCCTATTTGGAAGAAAAATAAATATATTATTGTGATGTTCGGTCTTGTCACACACACTTCGACACACCTACCGAACGCCTACGCAGTTTAAATATTTTGGAATTTATAGATTTTGAAAGTAAAAAGCTTTCCACTCTGAAGAATTTAGGCCAGGTTCCTTAATAAGAAACGCTATGGTTTCTCGAACACAGACTTTAATGAAAAATGCTATCTTTAAACTACATAAGGCCAGGGAAGACATTGAGACAAGAGTGATATGGATTGATATCATGCGATTTCGGACTTTGTACTACGGGAATGCGATCGCGGAATTTCTCCCTGCTGACTACTGTATTCAATTTTTTAAATAAAAACTTGTATTTTTTAAATAAAACTTGTATTTTTTAAAACTTGTACTGTATTCTGAAATCTGTATTTGAAGAAAAGTATCGTTTAGAAATGATACTTTTGGTAGAAAAGGTCAAGATTAAATATTGAACATACCTTGTTCTACTTGGAATCGAGAGCTCCCCGTCGCAACACCAAATAATAATGAATCGTTTGTGGCTTTCGCCTCGATAGCAAAATTGACGACACACGATATAGGAAGAGATGCCGGCGTTGCCTGTCTCATAGACTGTATATATAGAGCTTTCTTTCGGTTGTATACGTTCATGACATCCAAATAAATTCCTTGTTTGTTGGCCATTGTTCGTATAATTTCTCTTCCAGGTATACCAGCCTTAGCAATGAAGCTCTCCTTAGAGAAATAAAGCCCTGTTTCTTTGCAGATTTTCTCCCAAGCTTGTAGATGAAAAGGCATAGTGTCCACAAGTGTTCCATCGCAATCGAAAATTATAGCTTCTAAATCGTTAGGCAAGGGAGGAATGCGGTCCATCACAACGTTCCACTTCATCGACAAATTTGACAGATTAACAAACTAAAATTCACTATATTTATGTTAATGCTCGACCGTTTCAGTGAGGCAGAAATAACGAAATACTTTCCTTCAAAATCGAGGAGCTTAGTTACGTACTAACTCGGATAGTCGAATGCCCACGCTGACGGTTTTCATTCATTTGAGACATTAATTTGCAACATAAAGGTTTCTATTTACATCTGTGTTCTTAGTGACGTCACGTCAAAAATGTGCTTCGTGGCACGATCCTGTTTGAGGCCATTTTCGTTCAATTTTTGTCTAATTTGAGCAGAAAGAAAAACCAAAGATCTCGAATCTAATCTAGGGTTGTTAGATAGTTGAGTTTCGCTGCAAAAACTTGTGAAGTTGCTCAATGATTACAGACATTGTTGTAAAGCATTTCCGGTACCTGTTGCTTAGCTTGTGAACTTTGCACTTTAATAATTGAATGAAAAAATTACATTTCCATTCTGCTTCAACTTGCAATGTATTGTCATGAAACTGTTAAGTGAAGACCTGTGTTTTGTGACCGAATGAGTAGTTTGACGCAAAAGGCAAAAATTAACCTAGAATTTGAAATTTCGGTGGAAATTATTTTGGCGGCTTGTCAATTATTATGCCATATAAGGAAAGTTAAGGGGCGGGTGGCGGGTATGTTTATCAACATAGTAACAAAGCGGAACAAGGTTGTGGACGGAAATGAGTAAAGGTTTTGTACGTGCCGTTTCTCCTGCCTGGCTATATGGTCCCATATGTTTTAATTTTATTTCTTGTTTATAGGTGTTTTCTTCATTTTCTCCGAGAAAAGACCAAAATAGCTACTAGATTTAATCAGTTTTTGATGACGTGTATATGGGGATAATGGGATCAAAGTCCAGTGTCCCAGTGAGTTCTTGCAATATTAAATTTTACACTACAGGTTTTGATGCAATAATACAAATATTGAAATTATTAGGTGCACACTAGAGGTGTGCATCGGATCGGATTGGACGTTTATAATCCGACAATTGGCTAATGTTTAAAATCCAATCCGATCCAAAATTGTCTAATCCGATCCGAGTTGTGATAAAGAATTCCAATCCGATCCGACTACGAAACAACTTTATCAATCCGATATTTTTGTTCGGAAATCCGAACGAATCCGATCGGATTCGGACCGGATTTTCACACCTCTAGTGCACACTGCATATTATTCTTTCGAAGGCAAGTAAACATCGTGTCGAGTCCAGTCGAGGTTCAAGTCGTTTCAATCATTATTTTGGTGATAATCTCATTCCATAAAGACATTGATCAATTATTGTTTTTAACTTTTTATTGATTATGATTTTAATAAGGCTATTCCGAATGTTACACGAGTTTACACGAATCTGTTCCGATAGCTTCCGAACAACTGCGTTGCTTAGCAACATGCTTTAAACAAGATGGCGGCCAAAATAAACATGAAATGTCGAGATAATTTATTATCGTGCTGATTTTTTGAAAAAATCAATAAACTTTAATGCTTTTATATACTGCAATATGATTATAAGTAAAAGCAGTGTTGTGTCAAATTCTAGTTCTTCAAAGGAGAGTAAGTAGAACAATTTTTATGCAAATAAAATGAATGAAAATAAAATATGGTGATGTGAACTCACTGAACTGTTTATAGTACTTCATACATGTCCAACTGTTAACCAATATCTATATATCCTATATTGTTATTGGTATGTGCTTAAATAAATAGTAAGTGCACAACGCACCCACACATATAAATTGGCAAAAAGGCTGATTTATTTCAATAACTCCGTTATTGAAATAGATCATAATACTTATAATGCATGAGTCAATTCCAGGAGTAACCATCCCCCCCCCTCCCCCGGGAACACACCCGGGCATTTGATTTGATTGGTTATGATAGTGTAAATGCCTGGGTGCCGGGACACAACTTGAAGACTAATGCACGGCCCCTGGGCAAGCTGAGAGTGGAAAATGCCCCACCCCGGGGACGATTTTACAGTCAATTTCACGAAACTCCGACCACAAATGTTCGGAACTTCGTTGCGAAGTTTGCAAGTTTGTTGCGAAGTTTGGAAGCTCATATTGGAATTCACAAGCCAATTTGTAAACAAAGTCCCTGATTGGTCCATGAAGTAAAAGAAGCCAATCAAATGCGTAGCTTACGAACTGGTTTGTGAATCTCATTATGAACTTTTGAACTTCGCAACAATCTTGTGAACTTCGCAACGAAGTTCGGAGAATTTGTGGTCAAAGTTTTGTGAAATCGACTGTAAACGTTAATTAAACTTTTAATGGCATATAATCATAGTCATTTAATAACATTATAGTATTAAACTGCTATGGAATATTATAAAACATTAACCTTTAATAGTTTGTTTATTCTTACAATAAATTTCACGCCACCTTGACCACGAGGTCGCAAAATACGATCAGCGCGTCCACATGCGTGCCTGAAACTAGGTTTTGCTGCCTTAAAATTTGTGTGTGGGATTCTGGGCAACCATTTGTCAAATCCCCGGGATCCTCTAATACCCGGCCCCCGTGCACATATATGAAAGGCAAATTCCCGACCCCTGTGAACTGTCTATCGGGCAAATTCCCGGGGGTGTCCCGGGATGGTTACTCCAGGAATTGACTCGTGCATAAGTTGTATTAAACTCATTTTAAACATAAATTTTGATTATAAATGTGGTTGCACGCATTTCAATTATTGCTTGACTATTTATTTTACACAGTACTGAAATGACTAAATGGTTTGAATATTTTAGATTCTCTGTATTAAATGACGTGTACCATATTACATTGCGTATAAGCGCCCCTCGCAGTTCCCCACAGAGTCAGATATAGGTTCATGTGCAGTCAGTGCAGACCTATGTCACCTACCAATACTCTCACATTTTGAATAGATTAAATGTGAAGAAGTCTCCTGCATTCCTTGTGTTTTACCTAAGTGTTGAGAGTATTTCTATTGTCCATTTAATTTATTTTAGTTATTTTTTTTAAAATGACAGCTATAGCTAATGGTAATGATAATTGTTTATTAACACATTTAGTAGTAGTTACGCTAATTTACAATGTGTTTACAAATTTGGGTATAAAAAAGTATATATATATATATATATATTACAGTATATATTTACATGTCATTCATTAAAATTAAAGTTTTACTAATCTATATCTATTTACAATATGTATAAAAACTACTAATGCATACCTATTTGTACATTAACTGATAAAATTTTAAAAATGATGATCCTAATCAACTAATCTAGAATTATATAAGTATATACAGTAAACTAAAGGACTGTGTTTAAAACGTTCGGTTTTAGAGGGGAAATTATATAATTTCTGACTGTTAATTAGTTCTTGTTTCTTTTTGCCTAATGTATTTTAGTTTCTTTGGTAAGAGGCTATGAAGTTTATGGTTTGGTTCCAGCATTTTTTTAATTAGAGATACACATAATTCGTCCCTACGTTCTTCGATCCAAAGTTTGTAATTTTGTCTCAGTTATTGCTTGGTCGTAGTCTAGGTTTGGGTAAATTATTCTACTGTAAGTACTCGTTTTTGAATTCGTTCAATGCTCTTTTTCTGCTCTTGGGTTAGACCTCCGTTCCAAATCTCCGCACCATATTCTAAAACAGGACGAATTACCGAACAGTAAAATGCTAACAAATCATCCATGGGGGCACCATAACTCTTCAAGATCTTTGATAAATACAGACGCTTGGCCGCTTTCTTTGTAATATATTCCGTATTAGTTTTCCATTTAAGATCGCAATCTAACCATATATTCCCAGTAACTTATATGACTTCGTTCGAGAAACATTATGACTACCAACATAAATTGGGGGTATAGAGGTTATATTTTTCCTAAAGTCAATAATCATCTCCATACACTTTTTATAGTGTATGAGATGATTCATTTATGAGATGATTCAAGCATCAGTAACAACTAGTAAAACTGAATAACTGATGAAAGAAATTATCTACACATGTCACTTAGCCATCTTATCAGCAAGCAGATTGATATGTGTTGTACAGTTGAGCAAAAGAGTGCTCTGAATGTAGTTTTAGTCCCAAGACACTGTCTGCTCTCCTAAACAATTTATCTCATTCTGAGCTGACGTCAAAGATTAAATTCTTGCATGTTTACCATTGGCTGGAGATCACCAGCTGTCTCACAGTAATTCCTTAGGATGCATTGCAGATTTCAAGAGAGAATGGTTGTTAATACAGGTGCATTCCTCTTTATGTTACCAATTTAAAGCATTGTATATCAAGACTAACTTACATATGCTAATCTGAGATACGTGGTGGGGGAATGGTGTGTCTATATGCAGATGTTTATGTGGATTACACTAGTTAATGAAATATAAATAAAAATATGAAAACTCATAAATATACACTTATAGGGCATGTGCTTGTATGTAGGGGAATATAGTATGTAAAATGTATAACACATAAAGTGTTAAGTGTACATTATAAATGTTGTCAGGTGCATTTAAATGGACAAAGGACATATACTGACCATTTATACTACATTAATTCCAAGTTTCATTTAAATGTTCAAAATGTTTTGAACATTTTAGGTTCCATAATTTGGAAGAAACATGGTGCGGAATTATTTCCTTGTGCCTCTGGTGTTCAAGCTCCGTATGTTGGTCAGACTGACTCAACTTTTATCACTTCTAAAGAACTGAACCCAACACCAGCAACCCTATCTGCTAACTCATTTCTAAACGATGAAACACCTCCACAGAAGTCGAAAAAGAAGCCACTCCCGAAGACTCGACTTCTCGGTGACGTTGTTGACCCGTTTTGGCACGAATCTGCCAGAAGCTTGAAAGAATTGTTGCCACAAACATGTTTATACCTTCCTGATGTCGGCAAGAAACGAGGCCAAAAGCAGAAACAGCAAAAAACGAAGGAAATAAGCAGAGGCTTGAATTTTTCACATGATGTGATGGCATTTCATTGCTCTCATTTGATAGACTATGATGAGGAAACGCTCAATAAAACTATCTATCAAGGAGCGCAAAAACGAAGGTTGTTACACCCAGCCAACAGTCACAGCACTCATACAGGGTTGCCTCCAAAGCACACACTGTGCCACCTCAACAGCCAGCAGCAAAATAAACTTGTACACAACCCAAAAGCTTTTGATGAAATTGACGATCAAATGAAGCAAGAATTCGATGAAATTTTGTTTTCTGTCACAAAAACCAGCAGGCCATTTAGAACAAGTGTTGGCAAAACTGAGCAATCCGAAAAGTCGACTCAATCGAATTCTGAATGGGATGAATATGTGTTGGCCTTGCTCAGTAAGTCCACTGCAAAGTGGTTAAGTGATGAACTATGCACTGGACCACAACAAGCTCGGTTGATGAACTTTTTAAAAGATCGTTACGAAGAGGGCTGGGAAGGAGAAAATGAGAAAGAGGCCGGGATACACACACCGTCAAACGGCGTGGCGAGTAAAAGACGGAATAGTAAATTTGGTGCTGAGCTTGACAAAGTTTTA